CAGCCCAAGAAGTCCTTAAAATGGCAAGAGTATCAACACCAACATCCACGTGTGTTTTTAGAACAACACGAAAAAATATCCCCAAAAATATAAGAGTAAAGGGGGGTCTTCAACTCCATATTTCTTATCAACCTCAATTTTTTTTTTCCATTGCTCTTAGGATCCTGCAGAAATAAAAGAAAGTACTTTCTCTCATTCTCTCATTTTGCCTAGGTGCCCTTTCGGGTTTTCATCCCAGCTTCCCACATTTTTTTGTTTTAATCCTCACAACTCAATCTTATTTTTGCTTTATTTTTGCTTAAGTTGCCTTTTCAGGTTTTCAACTTAACAAGCTTTATTTTCTTTTTTTTTTTTTTTTTTTTTAAATAACTCAAGAATACAGAGTATGAATGTGAGTTTTCCATGAAATTCTCCCCCCAAGCTAATCAAAGCACTATCCCTAGTGCATGTGTCCGAGATGTCCAAGAGAATGAATCTCTTTGCCTTTTTTGGTGTCATTTCTTTCTTTTTGGTTGAGGAAATTTCGGCTTTTGTTGTTTGTGGAGTAAGGGGATTTGGATTTTTAGGATTTTTTTTTGGGTGTAGTAGTGAAGAGGGTGATGAAGAGATGAAGAAGGTGGGTTTATTTGATGGATTTGGTGTAGAAATGGAGAAGATTCAAATGTATGGAGTTTAATTTGAAAATGGTGTTTTGGCGGAGTTTGGTTCGTGTTTGCGGAAGAAGAGGATGCCATCTCGGTTTTTGTGAAAAAAATCCCAACGCCCGGCCGGGTGGGGTAATGTACCCGGTCGGGCCTAACTTCCGCTTATCCAGAATGTTTTTGTCAAAAATGCCCGGCCGGGTGTATTAAAGGTACCCGGTCGGGTAATTTACTCCAGGGGCCGGGTTTTGCCAAAAAAATATTTGCCCGGGCGATTTTTTTGTTCCAGGTGCCTTTTTACGAACACGCCCGGCCGGGTGAAATCAGATACCCGCCCGGGTCCACTCCCCAGATTTTTTTTAAAGGTTTCTCACACACAAAAAAAATTTGAAAATAATCAAAATACAAACTTGGGTTGCCTCCCAAGAAGCGCCTTATTTAACGTCGTGGCACGACGATTATTTATTTTTATTTTTTAATTTTTTTACGTGGGATCGTGGACATCCCTTGTTTCATTCTTTTTCTTCGGCCTTTTCCAGTAAGGCCGAGATTTCTTTGTCACCACCTCAAACACAAGTGATTTACTTTCACATTTAGGTGCCTCTTCTTTCAAAATAGATTTTTCTTGTTCAATTCTTTCCTTAAAAAGTGAGATCTCCCTAGCTTGTTTTTCAACAAAAACGTTCGGTGTTTGTGGTTCAAAAACATTCAGAGAACAAAGGGATTGGTCTTTAAACTGTTTTTTCGTAGAATCAAAGATGCTGAATTCTACCTTTTGGTCATCAAACTCCAATGTTAATGAACCATTAGACACGTCTATTTTTGTTTGGGCAGTTTTTAAGAAAGGTCTCCCCAAAAGGATGGGTGTAGTTTGGTTATCGGCTTCCATTTCAAGAATATAGAAATCAACAGGGAAGACCAAATTTTTAACTTGTACTAGCACGTCCTCTACTACACCCTTTGGGTATGTGCAAGACCTGTCTGCCAATTGGATTACTACCCCGGTTTCATGCATAAGGCCAAGTTTTAGGGACTTGTATAATGAATATGGAATAACATTGATTGAAGCCCCTAAATCCAACAAGGCCCTAGGAAATAAAGTGTCCCCTATTTTGCAAGGGATAGTGAACATGCCTGGGTCATTGCATTTTTCCGGGAGTTTCCTCTGGAAAATTGCTGAGGCACGTTCACTAACCTTTACCTCTTTTTTGCCTTCAATTTATCTTTCCTTTTCATTTTGCATAGTTCTTTTAAAAACTTTGCATAACGGGGAACACTTTTGATTAGTGTAAAGAGTGGGGTATTTACCTTACAATTGACGAAGGTCTCGTAGAGGTCCCGATCATTCTCCAACTTTCTTGTGTCCTTCAGTGCCTCAGGGAATGGGGGAAGTGGTTCATATGATGAAAGTGGAGGGAATTTAGTTTTCGTTGGTTCCTCCTCGTCTGGTTGAAAATCTTCTCCAGGATCAACCCCATCTTTAGCTTGCTTTTCTTCCTCGTGCACCTCTTTCAATGTTGTCTCATCCCTCAACATGATTGCATTAACATGTTGTCTCGGGTTTTGCTCCGTTTGAGATGGGAGTTTACCTGAGTCTTTTGCCTCAAGTCGGCTCACCGCAATTGAGATTTGGCTCATTTGATTTTCCAAGTTTTGGATGCTAGATTTTGTCGTTTCTTGGAATTGAGCCACACTTTGTTGCATCGTTGACATATTTGTAGCAAGTGCTCGGATCATGTCTTCAGTGGACATAGTTGAGCTTGAGGTTTGGCCTTGGTGATTTGGGAAGGATTGTTGAAAGGGCTGATTTTGTTGTGGTTGAGGGTTCCCATATCTCAAATTCGGGTGATCTCTCCACCCGAGGTTATAAGTGTTAGAGTGTGGATCGTACCTCTTTTGTTGATGAGATTGAAAACCCAATGCATTGACTTGTTCTTCTTGGAGAGTTGGGCAAGAATCGGTTGGATGCCCCTGCTGTGTGCATATGCCGCAGACCTTGACCTCTTGGTTTCTAGGATTCAAAAGGAAATCCTTAACCAAAGAAGTCAAGCCGGCCATTTGACTTTCTAATGATGAAGATGATTCTGCTGCGGCAACTTTTCGGGTTAAGGACCGCCCGTTGTAATGCCTGGAGTTCTCGGCCAACTCCGAGATTAGGCTTGTTGCTTGTGAGGGAGTTTTGTTGTTGACAATGCCACCCCCACAAGCGGCATTCACCATTCTTCTATCATCGTCAACAAGACCATCGTAAAAGTAGAGTATGAGGTCTTGCTCGGTGTAACCATGATAAGGGCAGCTAGCACATAACTTTTTGAACCGTTCCCAATATTCATATAAGGTCTCATCATCTTTTTGATCAATGTTACTTATTTGTTTTTTCAAAGATGATGAGATGGAGGCGGGGTAGTACCTTTCTAGGAAGCATTTCTTCATTGCCGCCCATGTCTCTATGCTTCCCGAGGGAAGATAGAATAGCCAATCCTTAGCCGTGTCCTTCAGGGAGAATGGAAAGGCCCTCAGCTTGATTTGTTCTTCCGTAACATTATTTGGTTTCATACTAGTGCAAACTATATGAAACTCCGCAAGATGTTTGTTTGCATCCTCGCCCCTTAGGCCATGAAATGAAGGGAGTAGATGAATGAGGCCCGATTTGAGCTCAAATGTAGCACCTTCATCAAGAGTGGGGAAGGTGATACATAGAGGTTGTTGATTTAAATTAGGAGCCGTGAGCTCCCTCAACGTTCTTGTTTCTTGAGCCATAGTGATTGGCTCTTCATTTTCGCAGAACTAGCACTTGATGATTCCTCCGAAGAAGTATTCGGAAATAAATTCCTAAACCTCTCGGAGGCTTGTTCTGTTTCGGGGTTTGTTTGGTAGGTGATTTGGTTTATAGATCGGTGTTTAACCATATACTCAAACAAAGCTCAGAAGAATAGAAATATCTATATTTAGGTAATACGGAGTATGTTTTTTTTCTTTTTCTTAAAATAAAATAAAAAGAAAAATTAATTGCCTTTCCCCAGTAACGGCGCCAAATTTGATGTGCACTTTGTCACGGTGCGTCAAAATAAATTCAATACTAACACTTATACGTAGTATAACGTAGTAGAGTTCGTATCCACAGGGAAAGGAATAATTCTCTTTTTATAGAACTAGTAAATAAAAGGGGGGTTTAAGATTGAATGATTTAATTTAATTAAACAAAAAGATGAACAACTTAAATGTGATTTAATTTAAAGATAAAAAGGACTTGGCATTGCTACTTTCCACTTGTTGATATATTTTAGTCGATCATTGTTATATCTATAACTTATCCCCTCTCGAATACTCAATCGAGGAGTATATCCAATTCATCGAGGGTAGTTATTAACAACGACCGTTCATTAATAACCCTTACTATTGGTCAAGTATAAAACACCGCCATATACCGACTTGATAGTAGCATTTAATCTCTTAACTCCTTGATGAAAAGTGCTTTTTATTTTTTGTATTACACAAAAACACTTATTTTACCTAACACTACCAACTTTTAGTTTTCAAAATCATTTTTTCTCAAATACTATCAACTTTTACTGCTAATCACTTTTTCTAAAATCATTCCAAAAGTGCTTTTTTTAAACCGAAGCTGTTGCAAACATTCCCTAAGTACTTTGGTTGAAATGAAAAAAGATGAAATAATCAATTTTAAAAGTCATTAAAATGCAATCTGTGGGTTTCATAAATAGATGAAATATAATTTTCTTGCAATATGAGCTTACGTGAAAAACCTAATACTTCGGATGAGATTAAAAATAATCATACACATAATGCATGTGAAGATCATTAATTTTTCATAAATAGATAAAATTCAATTTTATCTAGGAACGGTTTAAAATTATTCTTAATTTTTTTTCATAAAATAATCTTTTCATTTTAACCTCAGGTATAAAGATTTTACCTTAAGTAACTTCCTCATGAAAAATTTAAAAATTATACGGATTACATGGATGGTGATTGAGTAGTTCATTTTGTCTTATATGTCATCCATTTATTTACCATTAAAAGTCCAACAATTGAACTAAAAAAATAAATTTGGCAACGTGAATTAAAAAATAAAATAAATTTGGCATCCGAATTAATTACTTAGGGAATATGAAAAGTTTAATATGCCATTATAACTCATGAGTATGGCCGTATGGGTGGTATAGATTACAGTGTCAATAAGGACGTACTAATTAATAAGTGACTTTTTGGCTGAAAAACATTATTAATCATAAATGCCACTTTCGGTAAATGCAAAAGTCTTTGTTGCGTAGACGTTAGTTGCTTTGTTTATATATAGATGGCGTAGATTAGATACCTGGTCATTTTCTTTGATCACATGTGCACTATATTATTACTCTAAGCGTACAGATGTTAACTTTACTTTGATGCCTGCTTAGCATTTCTTGGTGTGGTTGCATTGGCCGTCATTTGTTCTCTATGAAGGTACGTTTCATACTTATTGTTTTTATTTTTACTCTATAAAGTTTAAGGTTAAGATTAAAAATAATTTTTGTCCCTGTTCTTTTCCTTTGATCATATTCCAACAGGATTGTAATTTCTGAAAAAAAGTATTCTGGAAGTTTTACAATAGTTTCATATTGATTGATTTCTATCAAAAAGAAAACAAGACGTGAATGATTAATCTAGAAAAATTAATATATATCTTTTATTTTTCTTTCAGGTCACTATTGCCTTGCGTTGTAGACCTATTATACTACACATTTTATAAACAATGAGGAAGATCACAAAGACCACAAAAATTACAGGGAAGCGAACCATTCAAGAAATAAGCAACGAAGGTAAGTTTCTTTAACTCTATACTATTGAACTGTATATCAAGTAAAGTACAAGCTTTTTAGATATGGCTTTGAAACCTGATTAGGTAAAAGTAATATTTTAGGGTTCATCTGATTGTTCAAGAAAACAGGAATTTATGCCAAGATTGTACAGACCGTCCTTTAAGCAAAGTTCAGACAATAACATTGCTATATGTTTGATCAACTTACTCCTATTTACAAAGTCATATAAATATGAAAAGTCATCAAATGCAACCATTTTTATAGACTAAAGAGCATATTACGCTATGTGCATCAAATATATTTGAATAAAAGTGGTTTTTGCCGTTTTAAAACAAAGCTATATTGCCATTTTTTTTAAAAAAAAAATAGAACAGTAGAGTGTTGTTTTGCAGTAGACAAAATGGTTCTGAGTCAAATCAGATAGCACATCGTTCGATCGGTTCTGTGGAAATTCCGAGAGAATAGCTATGGCGTCAAAAAGTTTAAGTAATCTTTGGTAGGGCGGTTTGGTAGGGCGGTGTAATTTGAAGGGTAGTTTTATGTGTGTCTAGGATTTGATTCAGACACTTCTTCTGGTCGAATTTGGGCTGCACTAAGCAAAGAGAAGTGGGTCGGTCCAGAATGTAAATGCCTTAAGTTTGACTTCCGTTGTTTTATTTTTTATTTTTGTTTTTTTATGTCATAATTTGTTAAAATGTTTCTTTTTATATTAATAAATTGCACGTTTTTTGAAAAAATTAACTAAAATTTCTATTTTTATTTAGAAAACTGTGTTGCCAGTGTTTCAAAGCAGCGTAACAATTATGTTGGAGAGTCTTCGCATAGAGAAAATGCAAAGAAGATTGATTTCATGGATGGTGGTAATGGTATCTCTCCGACTGTAGACGCAGACAAATATACTTTGTATTTTGCAGATGCAGACAAATATACTTTGTATTTTGCAGTTTTAAAATACAAATAATTTGTAAAACATTTAGGAAATCTTTCCAAAGAGAGTCTCGCCAGGGAGAGAGGTGGAGTTTTGGTAAGAAAGACGAAGCAGAGTTTGGGCACCTTACCAGTGTCTTCAACTCCTTTAGCCAATATTACTAATGGTAATTTGTTCATTAATTTGAGTTGTTATATACTACGTATTATTCATTTTCATTTTAATTTCTTTATATTAAATAAAATAAAATTAAATAAATTTTATTTTGTTAAATGTAGTGAACATACCAACAAGTTTTCAAAGGCGGGATGCTTCGATTGGAAGCAAAGTTTCGTGTTATACATACCTTCAACATTCATGGAATGTCATGTCGTTCAATAACAATATATCTGCTTATGGCAATTCTACAAGAGGTATTTAATGATTTTGAAATTTTGAATGTATTTGATTTTCAAATAATTATTGATGTAAAAATTTAAAAAAAATGCAGATTTATATTTTAAATTAAATACTTTTTATTTTAATAAATTAAAATTGTTGTAATTTATTGTAATTTTCTCTTATACTCAGGTACATGTGGTTCCTCTTTGGAAACAGGTCAAACATCTAATCTAGATCCTTCACCTCTGTCTAATCTTGATTCAATAGATTTGAATCAAGACCAAATTGACAGTATAGATATTGATGTCGGTGATGATGACACAACTTATGTTACGAAGAGTATCCCAAGTGGTATGGTTGAAAGTAATACCATTTTTACATTGAGTACCATTATTGAATATGTGTATATAAGAATATATAAACCATCACATTTGTGTCATTATGTCAGGCTATTTGGATGTTGGTGACCCTTCATACAAGTGTAGTTTTTGTGGAGCTTTGTTTTGGTATGATGAGAGACTAGAATCTCATTATAGGGCAAAAAATCCGAAATATTCAGGTTGTTGTATGCAAGGAAAAGTCAAGCTACCGCTTATAAAAAGGCCCCCACCTATCATTGAAAATTTGTTTATGGGATGTGATGAATTAAGCAAGCATTTTCTAAAAAATGTGCGTTCCTACAACAACATGTTTTCATTTACCTCGATGGGAGGGAAGATTGATTCGAGTGTAAATGGTGGAAAATCCCCACCCATTTTTAAGTTGCATGGCCAAAACTTTCATCTAATGGGAAGTTTGTTACCGGCAGATTCTGCAGTGCCTAAATTCGCACAGTTGTATATATATGATACAGAGAATGAAGTGTGCAATAGAATTAATTCTGTTCGGTAAGTCCAATATTTATTGGTGTTAGCATGATAGATGTCTAAAGCTTATTACTAACACAAATTTAATGTGTAATTCATTTAGGAAAAAGGATGAACCACATGACCTACATGAACGAATAGTTGAAGATTTGAAAAAGACACTTGATGAGCATAATGTGTTGGTGAAATCATTTAGAATGGCAGGGAAGAAAATAAGAGAAGAAGGTTGCGTTGATTTTAAGCTCAAACTCATAGGAAAGAGAGCAAAAGACGCAAGGACTTACAATCTCCCATCGGTGTCAGAGGTTGCTGCTTTAATTGTAGGTGATCTTGATCTGTCTCTTGGAGAAAGGGATATTGTGGTTGAGACTTGTGCTGGAGGATTGCAACGAATTAATGAACTTCATCCTTCATATTTTGCACTTCAATATCCGCTTTTATTTCCATATGGGGAAGATGGGTATAGAGAAGACATACCTTTGTCTAAAAAAAAAATAGATCACTCTCGAGGAAGACAAAATGTCAGCATCCGGGAGTTCATTGCATACCGATTGCATGAAAGGGGGTCTGAGATATCTACTTTATTGCATGCTAAGAGGTTGTTTCAGCAATTTGTTGTCGATGCCTATACTTTGATTGAATCGAGTAGGTTGAGATATATTCGCAATAATCAAAAGCAATTGAGATGTGAAATGTACAAGGGATTGACTGACGCTTTATTACGAGGTGACACAAATCCTGCCACACAAGGGAAACGAATAATACTTCCGTCTTCGTTCACTGGTGGAGCAAGATATATGATCCAGAATTACCAAGATGCAATGGCTATTTGCAGATGGATAGGATATCCTGATTTGTTTATTACTTTTACCTGCAATTCTAATTGGCCAGAAATAGCTAGATACATTAAACAACGAAATCTTAAACCAGAAGATCGACCAGATGTTATCTGTCGAATTTTTAAGATGAAATTGGATGCTCTAATCACTGATTTTAAGCGAAACAAAATATTTGGCACAGTTAAAGCAGGTATTATTTTCATTTTAAATTTTATCTCCACAATGATGTTATCTTCTAATCATAGTTGGCAAGGAAACTAACCAATATTAAAATGTTCATCTTTTTGTTGTAGTGATTTACACCATTGAGTTCCAAAAACGTGGATTACCGCATGCACATATATTGCTATTTCTTGACAAGAATGAAAAGTTCCCAACGCCAGATCACATTGATAGCATAATTTCAGCTGAAATTCCCTGCGAGGAAACTGACCCAGAATATTTTAATGCAGTCAAGGATTATATGATGCATGGCCCATGTGGACCTATGAGGAGTAACTCTCCTTGCATGGTAGATGGTCAATGTTCTAAACATTTTCCAAAGAGATTTGTTGATCATACCACTTTGGATGATGATGGATATCCAGTGTATAGACGGAGAAATCAAGGCAGAACAATATCAAAAAATGGGGAAGATTTGGATAATCGATATGTTGTGCCCCATAATAGATATTTGTTGCTCAAGTACGCAGCACATATTAATGTGGAGTGGTGCAATCAGTCAAGATCTATCAAATATCTGTTCAAGTATGTGAACAAGGGTAATGATAGAGTAACTGCCACGTTCTATCAAAGTGCAAGTGGTGAGAATGAAGAAAGCAATGTGGATGAAGTAAAAATGTATTACGATTGTAGATACATTTCATCATGTGAGGCTGCTTGGAGGACATTAGGCTATGAAATCCAATATAGAAGCATTGGTGTGGAAAGGTTGAGTTTTCACCTACCTAACGAGCAGGTTGTGTATTTTGATGATTTAGAGCCCATAGACGAAGTTCTTCAAAAACCAACCATTAAAGAAAGTATGTTCCTTGCTTGGTTTAAAGCAAATGAAATTTATCCTGAAGCGCGGGATTTGACTTATGCTGAGATGCCGATGAGATTTGTCTGGAAACAAGCAACAAGAGAGTGGACTCCAAGGAAAAAGAGTTTTGCCATTGGAAGATTATTTTATGTGCCGCCAAGTTGTGGTGAGCTTTTCTACTTGAGATGCCTTTTGAATGTTGTTCGTGGTCCAACCTCTTTTGAAGATATTATGAAGGTTGGTGGCGTCCAATACAATACTTTTCGTGATGCTTGCTATGCTCTTGGTCTGCTAAATGATGATAAGGAATATATTGATGCAATTAAAGAAGCGAGCTTTTGGGCAAGTGCACATCGTTTGCGCAAACTTTTTGTCGCTTTATTAATTGCTGATTGCTTGAGTAGACCAGAAGAGGTTTGGGAGAAGTGTTGGACTTTTTTATCTGAAGATATTGTTTACAAGCAACGTTTAATGCTTAATCATCCAGGTACTTTGTTTTTCTTATTTTAGTGTTGAGAATAATTAATAATGTAAATTTTTTAATAGAGTGAATGTGTTCAATTTTGTAGATCTTACATTGACTGAAGATGAGGTGAAGAACTTTACTTTGTTTGAAATTCAAAAATTGTTGCGCAGTTGCGGGAGGAGTTTGGATGAATATAACACCATGCCGGTTCCAGATAATAGATTCTTATCAAATAACGGCAATCGATTGGTGTACGATGAGCTAAGGTATGATCGTAAAAAGTTGGCTGAGGAGCATGCAAATTTGCTGGGTAATTTGACTAATGAACAAAGAGTTGTCTATGATACTATAATCAAGGCTATTGATGCTGATAGTGGTGGAGTCTTCTTTGTGTATGGGTATGGAGGAACAGGGAAAACTTTTGTATGGAATACTCTTTCTGCAGCTATACGTTCAAAAGGGGAAATTGTATTGAATGTTGCATCAAGTGGTATCGCCTCACTTCTGCTGCCGGGTGGTAGAACTGCGCATTCTCGCTTCAAGATCCCGATTAATCCTAATGAAGATTCTACGTGCAACGTAAAACAAGGAAGCGCACTTGCCGAACTTCTTATCAAGTGTAAGCTTATAATATGGGATGAAGCACCAATGGTACACAAATATTGCTTTGAGGCTTTAGATCGGACACTCCGAGATATTTTGCGATTTAGCAATCCTTCAAGTTTACAGATGCCCTTTGGAGGAAAAATTGTGGTGTTTGGTGGAGATTTTAGGCAAATCCTTCCTGTCATTCCGAAAGGAAGGAGACAGGATATAGTTAGTGCATCCATAAACTCTTCTTATTTGTGGCAGCATACAAATGTGATGCATTTAACAAAGAACTTGAGGCTTCTTCATTTGCCAGGCAGTGATCAATCAGAATATTTGATTAAGTTTTCCGAATGGATTGCAAGCATTGGAGACGGTACAATTGGAGGGCCGAATGATGGTTTTGCAGAGATTGAGATTCCTGAGGAGTTCTTGATTACAAATTTTGAAGATCCAATAGCTAAAATGGTTGAGACCATTTATCCTGATTTTGGAACCATTGATCATGATCCCAGTTATTTGGAAAAAAGGGCAATATTGGCACCAACCCTTGATGTTGTTGATTCTATCAACGATTATATGCTCACTTTAAATGGTACTGAGTTGAAAACATACTTAAGTTCAGATAGTCCATGTCAGTCAGATGCAAATCTTGATTTCTTGGCTGATATTCACACTCCAGAGTTTTTAAATGGAATTAAAGCTTCCGGAGTTCCTAACCACCAATTGCATCTTAAAGTTGGGACACCGGTTATGCTAATGAGAAATATAGACCATTCCCAAGGTTTGTGCAATGGAACTAGGATGGTTATCACTAGATTGGGCAATCATATTTTGGAAGCAAAAGTTTTGACGGGAATAAGTGCAGGTCAAAAGGTCTTAATACCTAGAATGTCTTTGACACCGTCAGATGTGAGGTTGCCTTTCAAGTTCCAGAGGAGGCAGTTTCCAATTATTGTCTCATATGCAATGACAATAAACAAGAGTCAGGGGCAGTCTTTATCTAAAGTTGGATTATTTTTGCGCAAACCGGTTTTTAGTCATGGTCAATTATATGTTGCTCTTTCGCGTGTTACTGATCCCCGTGGTTTGAAGATTCTTATATGTGACAAGGAAGGTAGGAGTACTAATATAACAACAAATGTTGTATTTCATGAAATCTTTCAGAATTTGTAAAACACTTATAATTTTTATGTTTTAATGTACTTAATTTATTTGTTTCCCATTTTCTTAAACCCTTTTGATATAAATTAGGGTTCTTTTATTTATATGTTTTGTGATTTATATTATTAATTCCCGATGAATTATTATGTGTTATATACGTCAAATTTAATTAATTTCATATACACGAAATTTTTCCCGTGCATCGCACGGGTCATATACTAGTACGTAGTATAACGTAGTAGAGTTCGTATCCACAGGGAAAAGAATAATTCTCTTTTTATAGAACTAGTAAATAAAAGGGGGGTTTAAGATTGAATGATTTAATTTAATTAAACAGAAAGATGAACAACTTAAATGTGATTTAATTTAAAGATAAAAAGGACTTGGCATTGCTACTTTCCACTTGTTGATATATTTTAGTCGATCATTGTTATATCTATAACTTATCCCCTCTCGAATACTCAATCGAGGAGTATATCCAATTCATCGAGGGTAGTTATTAACAACGACCGTTCATTAATAACCCTTACTATTGGTCAAGTATAAAACACCGCCATATACCGACTTGATAGTAGCATTTAATCTCTTAACTCCTTGATGAAATCAATTTAGATTGATAACCTCAACACAACGGTTTCAGTTTAACCAACAAAATTAATCCCTCTTAAGTTTATTAACCACGACCGTGCATTAATAAACCGAAGTTACTTACTTGTGAAACCATCAATGATTAACCATCGGTTCGTTGAACGTTTCTAGTAGTAATTAATGTTGAGATGTTAACTAATTTTCATCTTAGCAACACTCCCCAACATTAACATAGAGATAGATTAAGGGAAGAATTAATATTCACGGAAGAAGATTAAATATGAATAATCCTACTATAACTAATGTCAAGATGTGATCTAATTGTCATCTTAGCAACACTCCCCAACATTAATATATAGAGGAAGAAAATAAATACTACTATAACTAATGTCGAGATGTTAACTAATTGTCATTTTAGCAACACTCCCCAACATTAATATATAGATAGATTAAGAGAATAATTAATATTCAAGGGAAGAAGTTAAGAAAATAACTCACAACTTTAATAGTCAACAAGCTTCAAGAGCAACACCAAGAAATGGAAGTTTAGCTCCTCATTTGGAGACTAAACATGCTATAAAATATAAAAGAAATACTATTCTAAACTGAGCTTAAGAGTATGGAAGAAGGGATGAATAAAAGTGAAGGAAAATGGGGCTATTTATAGGTGTTTTCCAACACCTTGGGCCGGGTACCCGACCGGGTCAAGTGCCAACCGACCGGGTGTATGTCAAAATCAGATAATCTCCCACGTTCTTGTGTTTTAGCACGTTAAAATGTCCCGGGTCAAATCTGACCCGACCGGGTGAAATAGGGGACCCGACCGGGTCTGGAAATTTCCTGAGCTTCTTCGTTTGTTAAATCTTACCCGATCGGGTCAAGTGTTTTACCCGGTCGGGTTTCAGCTCCTGGACAGTCCAATCTCCATTTTCTTCACTTCAAATTCTCCCTTTCCAACACCATAATTCCTAATTCTACTCTTCAACTTACAAATGAAGATTAAAATACAATTACAACTAAAATCACACAAATGTTTACAAACTAAATAAAACGATAAACAATACACACAAATCAAACATAAAAACATACACTTATGCACTACTAATTAGTGCATATCACCTAATATGATCCCTAACAATTTTTCAGAGAGAGAAGGAAGACGGACCTCCGCCGTTAAACTTGATGGTCGACTGCAATTTGACGAAGGTGGACACATCGCCCTTAATAATGGCCTCTTTGAGCTGCTTTAGTGCCTTATTGTAATTTGTGACGTAAGTGTGGTGGTGCTTTTGGTGATGGAGCTGCATTATCTCTCTGTGACTCCGCTGATGGCTGACTCAAGGGCACCGTAATCATAAATTCATAAGTAAGATTTGGAGGCAATAAGATCCGGAGGCGTAAAGGTCTGCAAGTCGCGTTGCTTCTGTAGGAAAGCTCTGGTGAGGGATTTTCGCTTACAAGAGAGTTGGAACTCTCGCTCTCAACGACAGGTTCCATCTTGGTTCAGTCTCTCCGTTCAAATAAAAGCCTAAAATTGAAATAAAAAATCCTAATTGAAAACAGAAAAGTTAAAAATGAAAAGAGAAAACAATTGGGACATGAATGATATGCGGAGAACATAAGTAGACCACACGGGTACCGGACCAGTACCAGACCGGGTTCTACTGGGACCGGTCCGGGTCAGGCTGGGTCATTTAATTTTTTTTTATAGCTTTTCTAATTTATTCCTACCCTCCCCGCCCCCAAATCCTGCCAAAACACCCAGCCCAACCCACCTAGCATAGGACCAAACCCAAAAATTAAAATGAAAACAAATATTGGCCTAGACCGGCCGGACCAGTCCCTCTTTTTCCACACTCGTAGCCCGCCTTTACCGCCCCCAGTTCGGGCCTAGTGGACCGGTCCCGGTCCCGGTCCCGGTTGGCGGGCTGGGCCGGTACTAAACAATACTGGTTCGGGCCAGGCGTTGGGTCGATCAAACTGGTCCCAATCCATCCTTACTGAGTATCCAAAGGTCGAAAATATTTCTTCAGCGTTAGTCTGCTCCAGCTGCACCTTCATCACTCCATGGCACATTCCACCAAAGCAATCGTTCCGCCGCCACAAACTTTCCACCACCATAACCTTTCCTCCTCCATAACCTTTCCGCCGCCATAACCTTTCCGCCACTGCAACCGTTCGATCAACGAAACCTTCTCCTTCTCCCGAATTTCCGCATCGACGGCAACAACAAAGTTCTCCATGAGCACAATGTTTGTAAATCGGTGGTTGTGCTAATCCATCAGCGACGGTAGGATGCCAACGATGACAATTACAATAGATTTTTGGCGGAGTCAATTTTCAAGATCTGACGGCGATGACTTTCTGTGGCGAGTGGTCGGGACTGGGCTGTTGGAGGTGGGGCTGGGGAGGGTTGGAATGGGGTCGGCTGGTCGGAGTTGAAGCTTGGGAGGTGGTTAAGGCAGGTCAGTGGGTGGGGCTAGAGGTGGGAGCATGTTATGCACTCCAAGCCACGTCAGCTAAGGAGTAATAAGGGAATGAGTGCCAGATCAGCTATGAACTAATTGACAGCTCGAAGTGGAAGATACTGGAAGAAGTTAGAAGCAGGAGTCTTCTTCAATTAGTTGTATAGTTAGTTACGAGCAGTTAGTTTAGCTGATATCTTTCTTCATTACATATACTGTAATTAGATGGTATGAGAGCATGGATGATGAATAAACTTCCTTCTTCTCCTTTCCTGTTAATGAGCTAAAACCTTCTTTACACTATTAGTTCGAATTCCATTCTTTTCATTGGAATTCCTGCAATAGATGTTAGAATTTTCGAAGTTTCTTCCTAAATTCTACCAATTGGTATCAGAGCACGATTCTGAGGACTCACTTCTGCCATTAAATTCAAGCTAAGCTTCCTATCTTTCACCCTGGCCAAGAAGGCCACTATAGCAAGTTTGTCGGCTAAAATGGAGGAACGAATGACACAACTGGAGCAACGATTGCTGGAGCAATCCTTAACGAATGAGCAAAAATTTCTGGATACCTCACGGAAGCTGGATGCTCTGTTGGGGCTTTTGCAGAAGAAAAATGATGACGAAGATAATCATTCTCTGCACAGTACTCCCATCCGTGAGCACAATCAGGTTAGAACTTTAGGTTTTACACCTAAAGTTGAATTCCCCTGCTTTAATGGAAGTAACCCTAGAATTTGGATTCAAAAGTGTGTGAAGTACTTTGAATTATGCAAAATTGATAATCATCAAAAGGTTGACCTAGCCTCCTTGTACTTAAATGGAATAGCAGAATCTTGGTATAACAGTTATAGTGCAGTACATAAATCTGTCTTATGGGAGCAATTTATAATAGATTTGTGTGCAAGATTTAATGAAGAAATAGGGGGTAATGTGGTGGAGGAATTTAATAAATTGCAGCAGACTGGTTCCCTTGATGAGTATTTGGATTCCTTTGAACATCTCAAGAGCCTGATGCTTCAAAGAAATAATCAGTTACCAGATTCATATTTCTTGGATAGTTTTGTGGGAGGGCTGAAAGTGACCATCAAATCTTTTGTAAGGGCTTTCAAACCAACTTCATTATATGGTGCTATGGAGTATGCCAGATTGTTAGAAAACAGTCTCTTACCTATGAAAAGAACAGATAAACCAAATCCAGATAAACCACTCCTGAGAACTCCTACGTATCCACCTTACACTGGACTGAAACCAAACATGACTAAAACTGATCAAGGGGGATCTTCCAACCAATTTATTCCCAGAAGAAGGCCTCCTTTACCTGCAGATGTGGAAGAAAGGAGGAGGAGAAATTTGTGTTTCCACTGTGATGAGACCTATTCACCAGGCCATAAATGTAAGTCTCAACTCTATCAAATACATATCATACCATTGGAAAAAGAGGAAGAAATAATAGAAGAATCAAAGGGAACATATTCTGATATGCTATTACAAGAAGGAGGAAGCAGGGGTGCTGAAATAACATTAGAAGAGCAACCACTCATATCCTTAAATGCCTTGTCTGGTAGAAATGATTTCCAGACCATGAGGGTCACTGGCAGGGTCAAGAAGAATGATCTACATGTATTAATCGATTCGGGAAGCACTCATAACTTCCTAGATCTACACACTGCTAAAAGGCTGGGATGCAAAATCACTAAATCTTATCCTTTAGAGGTTTCTGTGGCTAATGGGGAGAAGTTAATCACTACTCAGATATGCAAACAATTTACATGGTCTTTACATGGAGTTGAATTCACTACAGATGCTATGATAGTAGCATTAGGGGGTTGTGAAATGGTCTTGGGGGTCCAATGGCTAGCCTCTTTGGGTCCCGTATTATGGGATTTTGAAAAACTACAAATGGAGTTCCAATATCATGGCAGAAAGGTGGTTCTAAGAGGCATAAAAAGTGGCAAGCCCCTGGGATTTCAAGGGGAACCAATGGGAGAAATAGTCAGAAAAGAGGGAAGGAATA